CCCCTTCCAGGGCTCTCCAAACTAGCCCAGGGAGCTTCAACCCCAGCTTCACAAACTGGGGAAACATAGATCTGAAAAATTCCTGGGCTTCCAACACCCACTGCAGCCATTTTCAAAATCCTTGAGCTTCCCCTCCCCCAAAGGCTAAAGATTTTTTTTCTTCTGTTAAAGTTGAAACAATTAGTTTCTCGGGTGTTAAGCCACAGTAACTCCAGTGGCTTCAGTGGAGTTAATTCTGCTTTATGCTGGGGTGAGTGCGAGAAGATTCAGGCCAAAACTTTGGGGTTGGGGGAATGCAGAGGTTTTTTGGGGGGGTGGGGCAGTGTTTTGTTGTGCACATTGCAAATGGGTTTAAGTAAAGATCTTCCCCACTGTGAAAGCAAGATACCTCTCCCATCCACCTAAATGTCCTATGGCTGAACTGTACCCTAATCAACTCCTTACCTGAACTCCTAAATATCCCACTGCTGATCTGTATTGTTTTCTGTCTCACTGCTGATCCATACCACTGTCACCTCAATAGTCCCCTATCCCTTCTTACTAAATGTCCCCCCCTGCTGATTTATAGCCTAGTCCCCTCCCCACACACCCCTCTCCCATTCCCTCAAATGTCCCACTACTGATCCACACCCAATTCTCTAAACACACACTCCTCTCCAACCCCTAAATGTCCACTGACTCCACCCATTAATCCACCCCTAGCTCCCCTCTCCACAGCAGGGAGTGGGGACCCTGGGTGGCAGCCCAGTTTGGAGCTAAAGACCTGGCCGCCGCCTGGCTTGGGAGCCGGACTTTCTTGTCAATTTGAAATTGATAAGACAGCTGATGTAAGGAACGCAGCGTCCTACCCTAACTACACCGACATAAGCCCTAGTAAGGCGCTGTAGCAGGGTGGTCACCCACTCCTGCCTGGAAGGGCTGAAAACAGCCCTGGGAGGGGGCTGGGAGGGGGAAAAGCTGGGCTGATTGGGAAGTAGCTGCAGCTGGCCCTATCAAGGCCAGGGAAGCCAAGTGCTGAAGGAGCTCTCTCTCTTGCCTGTTAAGAGGGAGGGACCTGGCTGCTGGGGACGTACCAAGGTACCTGAGGTGGAGAAGGGCTGGAAGAGGGCCAGAGGAGCTGGGGAGCTCTGGCCTGGAAACCCCCCAGGCTGCAGGCCTAGTGGAAGACCACATAGGTACTGGGGGTGGCAGAGGGAAGCCCACGGGTAGGCAGAGGCTGCAGGTCCCAACCCCCCTTGCCTATGATGAGTGGCACTAAACTGCAGTCTGCCCCAGGGCATGTGGTTATTAGGAGCTGCTGAGTAATCCATCCTGGGGGCAGGGATACAGTCTAGGCCTGGTCTACACTGCTGCTTAAGTCGCTTACTCCCTCCGATCGACTTATCCACCAGATTGGATAAACCGCTGTGGTAGTGTAGACAAGCACTACCCAGTGTCTTAAAGAGAAGGAGCCAGGAGCTGGTGTCTTTCCTTTGGGGATCATCCCTTGGAGTTGGACAGACGTTACAAGGCAAAGGGCTCCCGCGATAATCAGGGGTAACACACTTTGGAACCAGGCTGGGTTGATGCTGCCTGTGCTCCTGGGGCAGGGACCTCAGAGCAAGCTAACGCTGGGCACTGGGAGAAGAGCAAAGTGGGGCAGGGCTGGAGCGGGGCCTGGAGAGAATGGCGGGGGTGGCGCGTGGGGCCTAGAGTTAATTAGTTTGACACATTTTATTATCGCTTCATTAATCAGCTCTCCACTTGTGTAGCTGTGTCTTCACACCTGTCTATGGATGTATTGTGACGTTGCACTCCACATGCTTTATGAAAATATGCTTATGAATATGGATATGACATAACTGGAATATGCTTTATGCAAAAGGTCTCATGTGAGGTATCATTGGAAAAGTTCTAATCTACTGAATGTGATTTTCCTATTTCTATGTATGTATCATTCCTGTATTAGAAGTTAGGAATATGAAGGATAAATCTGAGGGCCATTAATGGTGCTTTAGGAACTTGATGGCTTCCTTTTACCAGAACAATTGGCTGCAAATGGTTTTGTTTACCTGCAAACCTTCCTGTGTACGTGTGGGTCAGCCCATAAAGAATGGAGACTGGGGTCTTACAGAGACATGTGACCATGTCACCTGATATGGGAATCCATCTTGAAGCTGGTGGGGGTGGGGAATCAAACAAAGGTTTCTCGCCTTAGGGAAATTCTATATAAGGCAGGGGAAGCAAACGATGAGGGTCTTCAGCTGGCCTAAGAGACGGCCTCCCCACCCCAAAGAGATACCTGGAAACAAAAGGACTGTCACTACAGGGGTGGGTGAGAACAGGCTGGACCCAGATCAGAAAAGGCAACTGACCTGAGAAAGACTTTACCTGAGATAACATCTAGGGTGAGGAATGATCATTTGTAACCAGTTTTTTAGTGTATCAAGCTTAGCTTTGCGTGTTTGTTTTATTTTGCTGAGTAACTTACTTGGTTCTGTCTGTCTTATGACCACTTAAATCTTACTTTTTATACTTAATAAAATCACTTTTGTTTATTAATAAACCGACTGTAAGTAACTGTTACTTGTGGGCAAACAATTTGTGCATCTCTCTCTTTCTTCGATAAAAAGGACGAACAATATGAACTTGTACTATATAAAATTGGATACAAAAGTCCCCTCCCAGTGATCTCAGTTTGTTCCCCAATGATCAAATACTGACAGAAAATCTCCTCACGGATGCCCCCTTTTCCTCTCTTTTTAGCGACTGACAGAAAACCCTCTGCGTTTTGGAGGGAAGCCACTGCCCTGACTCACGGCCGCAGAAGCTGAGGAGGTTAAACGCTGCAATGACCAACTCTCACCCCTCTATGGCAGGGTCATGGGGGGGGACGATAGCCCAGCCCCCCGTGAGATGGCCCACCCTCAGTTTACCCTGTTAAACATCAGTCCCACCCAACTTCCGTGGAAATTTCCTGCTTCATGTTCCCCTCCCGTCCCTATTACCGGGGCATTGCCCGGGACACGTGAACAGAGTGGACCGGAGGACTGTGGTCCTATCACTTTTTTCCTGCTTTAAAAGTGAGTGACATGGGGAGGGGGCAGAGAGGATCAAGTGGGGCGTAGGGAAGGGGCAGGGTGTGGACAGGGCTAGTGGTTCCCTCATTTCTAGGGAGCATCTGACGCTTCTGTTCCTTGCTTCCCAGGGGAAAGGCAGGCTGGGAGAGGGGAATGGGGGGTTATCACTTCCGAGTGCATGGAGCACCGACTTAGCCTCGGGTGACCAGGGTTCCCTTCCTGCCTCCGCCCAGTGGGGTGACCTTTGTGCAAGTCACCTCTCCTACCTCAGTTTCCCCATCTGTAAACCAGAGACAGTGATCCTGACCCGCCTTTGTGAAACGTTTTGAGATCTATGGATGGGGTGCGAGTGACTGCGCTGAGCTGTCCCCTGTTGAGCACCTGGGATGTAATTTGACTAATAAAGTTGCGGCCTGGTTAAAACCCGTCCCACGTGTCCTTGGCGAACACGCCTATTGTTCCCCTGCCGTTGGGACCAGCCTGTTTCTGAATTCTCAGTGATAACATTGTGTGAGGTTGCAGCCTTCTAGCCAGAGTGTTTATGCTTTTATCTAGCGTCTCGGTGCGTTTCCTGTGAATACAACAGAAAGGGGAAATTGCCACAGCTGGGGTGTGTCTGAAATCCTTCAGTCCGCTGCCCGCTGGAGGAGCTGGAAGAAGCAGGGGAGTTTCACTGCTGGCTGCCCCCCAGTAAGTAGCACTGATGTTTCTCACATTTTTCTCTATCCTGGCTTTTGCTCCGATTCCCTGCAAAGCCCCAGGGCTGGCGCGGGTGTTAAACCCACAAAGGGCCCTTCCGATGATCTCACCTGCGCAGCACAGGGCTAGAAACTCTCCCCCGGGATCCCAGCCTGCAGCCCGCACTTTAGAATGATCCTTTAGACAGGCTGGAGCTCAGTGAACACATTGTTTTATTTCTGGGAGCAGAGATGGAGCCCCCCCTCCTCCCCTGTTTCCTGCGGCTGGCGCTGCCAATTCCAAAGTAGGGACTTCCTCCCAGGCAGGAAACACCTTTTCCGCTCCGTGGGGCCACATGGGGGTGCAAGGTCACATGCCACTGCTCCCCCTCCCCCATTTCTGTGACCGCAGGGCTGCGCAGCCCAGCTGAAAAAAGAAGGTTCTGATCAGCTCCCTGGACTTTGCAGCTGGACACCATCTTCTGGGTCCTAGTGCTGGTCAAGCCCCCTTCTGTATGCTAAAAGAACAGGAGTCCTTGTGGCACCTTAGAGACTAACAAATTTATTTGAGCATAAGCTTTCGTGGCCTACAGCCCACTTCTTCGGATGCATAGAATGGAACATACAGTAAGAAGATATATATACATACAGAGAACATGAAAAGGTGGAAGTTGCCATACCAACTCTAAGAGGCGAATTAATTAAGATGAGCTATTATCAGCAGGAGGAAAAAAAACTTTTGTAGTGATAATCAAGATGGCCCATTTCAGACAGTTGACAAGAAGGTGTGAGGATACTTAACATGGGGAAATAGATTCAATTAGTGTAATGACCCAGCCACTCCCAGTCTCTATTCAAGCCTAAGTTAATGGTATCTAGTGTGCATATTAATTCAAGTTCAGCAGCGTCTCGTTGGAGTCTGTTTTTGAAGCTTTTCTGTTGCAAAATAGCCAACTTTAAGTCCGTTACTGAGTGACCAGAGAAGTTGAAGTGTTCTCCTACTGGTTTTTGAATGTTATGATTCTTGATGTCAGATTTGTGTCCATTTATTTTTTTGCGTAGAGACTGTCCGGTTTGGCCAATGTACATGCAGAGGGGCATTGCTGGCACATGATGGCATATATCCCATTGGTAGATGTGCAGGTGAATAAGCCCATGATGGTGTGGCTGATGTGATTAGGTCCTATGATAGTGTCCCTTGAATAGATATGTGGACAGAGTTGGCATTGGGCTTTGTTGCAAGGATAGATTCCTGGGTTAGTGTTCTTGTTGTGTGGCATGTGATTGCTGGTGAGTATTTGCTTCAGGTTGGGGGGCTGTCTGTAAGCGAGGACTGGTCTGTCTCCCAAGGTCTGTGAGAGTGAGGGATCATCTTTCAGGATAGGTTGTAGATCCTTGATGATGTGCTGGAGAGGTTTTAGTTAGGGGCTGTAGGTGACGGCTAGTGGCGTTCTGTTGTTTTCTTTGTTGGGCCTGTCCTGTAATAGGTGACTTCTGGGTACCTGTCTCGCTCTGTCAATCTGTTTCTTCACTTCAGCAAGTGGGTATTGTAGTTGTAAGAACGCTTGATAGAGATCTTGTAGGTGTTTGTCTTTGTCTGAGGGATCAGAGCAAATGCGGTTGTATCTTAGAGCTTGGCTGTAGACAATGGATTGTGTGGTGTGTCCTGGATGGAAGCTGGAGGCAGGTAGGTAAGTATAGCCATCAGTAGGTGTCCGGTATAGGGTGTTATGTGACCATCACTTATTAGCACTGTAGTGTCCAGGAAATGGACCGCTTGTGTGGGTTGCTCTAGACTGAGGTTGATGGTGGGATGGAAATTCTTGAAATCCTGGTGGAATTCCTCAAGGGCTTCTTTTCCATGGGTCCAGATAATGAAGATGTCATCAATGTAGGGCAAAGCAGGGGCAGGGCAGGGGGGGACGAAAGGGATGGGATGGGGAGGAGATGGAGCGGTGGGGAAGGAGCATGGGATGGGGGAAGTAAGGGCAGGAGGACACGGGGGCCCAGCATGTGTATCCCCTTGGCAGCAGCTGGGGCTCCCCTGCTAAGCAGGCCCATCAAACCCTCATCCTGACAAGCCCCACTCCCCCTGCATCTGTACCACCCCGATGAGCCCCCCGCAGACACCCTCCCCACTGAGTCACAACCACCTACACCTGGACCCAGACACATACCCCCCCCCCCCGCCTGAGCTCCAACCACTTTCACTTGGTCCCCCCTGCAGACTCCCATTGCACCTGGCACCTCCCTGTGCATCCAGATCCCCCACTGAGCTGCCTGCACCCAGACTGCCCCCCCAACAGACCCCTCTTACCCCCATCTGGATCCCCCACACTAAGTCCCTCTGCACTGGGATCCTGCTGCCGGGCTGAGCCTCCCTGCCCACATCTGGGGCGCCTGGTGCAAAAGGGGCTGGGCCCCAGGGTGTTTCTGGGGCTGGCCTGGCCCTTGTGCTGGGTGAGGTTCAGCCTCACAGCCAAGTCCCTGTCCCAGGGGGGCGGGGGAGGCTGCAGGGATCTCCCACCCCACTGGCCTGTGTTCCCTCCTGCCATGGTGCAGCTTCCACATTCATTTATTGTAACAAAAAATGGCAGAATTTTAAAATTATGATGCCCAGAATTTGCTGCAGAATTCCCTCAGGAATATGGGGCACTGTACAGCTGTGATGGTGGTACTGTGAAGGGGGTGCTGGACAGTCGGGGATCTGTGGGTGGGGGAGCTGGGCAAGGGGTGTGGTGTTCAGGGAGCTGTGCAGTTGTGGGAGGTCAGCGGGAGGGGTCTCTGGGCAGAGGGTGCTGGGCATAGCGGGTCTGGGGGCAGTGGGTTTAGGGATCTGCGGGGGAGGTCTCTGGGCGAGGGGGCGCCGGGCGTACGGATCTGGGGGGAGGTCGTCTGGGCGAGGGGGGGCCGGCGTAGGGATCGTGGGGGAGGAGGTCGTCTGGGCGAGGGGGCGCCGGGCGTAGGGATCGTGGGGGGGAGTCGTCGTGGGCGA